TCGAAGGTCTGCTAAGAATGTCTGGGAAATTTTTTGCTTTGATACAGGCACTGTCCCCTTTCTTCTTTTCCTCCTTCCTGCCCACAATACAGGATAGAAGTAGGGCAGCAGAAAAGACAATAAACATGAAGACAAAAACAGGAGCTTCCTGAGATTGATGAACTATCTAGTGGAATCACTACATCATACTCTATGTGAGGAAAAATTAACCCTTTGTAGTTGAGCCCAGCAGTTACCCTTTCATTACTTGCAGCCAAATACATTCTCAACTGATACACTACAGTAGAGTAATATCTACCCCTCTAGGCTGTTTATTGAGGACAAGGGACTATTTTATCTTCCTTACTATTCTTATAGGATTGGAAGAATTTATCAGCACAAATGTTACTATTCAGATCTCTTCAGCTCTCTTCAAATAGTGAGAGTGGGCAAGTAGCAAGGGACACCACATTATCTGAATCTATTTGGTTCCTGAGTTCAGATATTTTGGATAGTGGAGGTTATGTGTACCATTCATTCCTGAAACAAACCGGTATTTATACCACTCCATGCCAGGCATTATATGGCTATTGGGAATACGGAGATGATTAAGTCAGATGATTGAAGGTGATTGTCCAAGTTCCCACTAAACATTAAGCTCCCAAAGGGCAGGAACTGAACTCCCAGTTGGAGATTTAATTCTAACAGTCTTTCTTCCGTCTTGGTCCTCATCTCAACCTTCTTTACCCCTGACCCCACTTTAGTGGTTTTGCTTCACTTATTCATTCACCAGCTTTTTTTAGTGTTTCCCAAGTACCTAGAATACCCAGTATTTGGACTGCATATTTATTTGTATTTTGAATGCCTAATCTTTGACTTCTAAGATCATTCAGGTTTCAAAGTCTGTCTGCTTTCTCTACAACTAAACCTCATGAGCTCCCGCTGGTCCATCATAAAGTGGCTGTTTTCCCCAATATGAAACGTTTCTGTGGTTTACCTAAACTCAGCTGTGGAAGCTGGGTGCATTAACATTATCCTGATGTCATGACTGGGTGTTGTAGTCAGTTAAGCCCAAATGATACATCCTCTTATCCAAGGTACACCCAGATCAGAATTCGAGACAATAGTAAAATGTTTCAGACTAGCCATAAACTTTGCCCCAAGTGTTAAAGCTTTAGGAATTGCTGCCATGGGAGCACAGGTATAACAGGTTGAGATAGACCATTGAGACAAGTGCCAGGAATCCTGGGGCCACATTATATTGTCACCTTTGATATTTTACTTTTGAGGGTCTTTAGTGTGTGTGTGTGTGTGTGTGTGTGTGTGTGTGTGTGTGTGTGTGTACTGTTCAGAGGCAAGGGGTTGGGCCAGTTTGAAACTGATGGAAATTATAGCAACTTTCTCCAAAATAATACACATCTGCACATACACACACAATATTTAGAAACCATTTCTGGAGATCCAGGTTAAGAATCCACCTGTGATTGACAGCGGAAACTTTTTCAATACCATAATTTGGTCCTTTTTCATATGTGTGTGTTTCATCCCAATGAGCGGGCAAGCTTCCTGCAAGGAACATACACTTCTTTATTAGCCCCAGTGATATGTTCATATAAGGACAGAGGCTTGTGGAAACCATTTGCCAATTGAGTCCTTTGAAGCTGCTATGATGGAATGAAGACAGGCAGCTTTCAATATCCTGCCATCCTACTTCCCTCCAAAACGAAAGAGATCACCACAATAAGACTTGGACCCTACACTCATGTTCTATTTAGTTTCTAGGTTTTAGGCCAAGGCATTACTTATATATTCTTCATGCAAATATCAAGTCTTGGATATTTAGAGAACAAGATAGTACCTAGCGGAAAGCTTTATACCCTCAAGTCAGTAAATATTAATAAATGGTTGTACTCTATTATCTTAAAAATCTGTGGTCTTTATTTCTCCCACAGCTCTCACCCCATACACACCCACACTTGCAGTCAGATCCCCTTCTTATCCTATCCCCTGAATTTTATTTCTCAAACTACACTCCTTTCTTGGAGTGTGCGTGTGAAAAAAATTAAAAACAGGAATAAACATAATGCTAATAGAATAGTGGCCATGTGGTTTTTCCTTTTTTTCAGATCCTTCCTTCCCACCTATAAATGTCAATGGGCCACCTTTCATTCTAACCACTGTAGAACTTGAAAGTATTTTCCCTTATTCTGTAGGTGATTATAGCCACCTGGTGGCCATATGGAGAAATAACAGGTAGACTGCCCCAAAATTTTGGTCTTGGATCTATGGAGAGCAAGGAAAGAGAAACCTGTGGATAGAGATTACAGCACAGGATCCAGACATCCTATTTCTTGGTTCCACCTTGCCTCCCTGGACACAACATCCCATCCACTAGTTATTATAGAGAGATTAATTCACTTAACATTTGGGCTTATTCAATAAAAATTTATTGAGCAGCAACTATGTGACTAACACTGGGAACACAGCAGGGAACAAGATGGACATGATCTCTACCCTCGTGAAATTACAATCTAGCAGCTGGCCAGCCAATTATATCCATAATTTTCACATTACAGTTTAGTAAGTGCTCTGAAATATGCATGGTGCTTAGAGATGATTTAACAGAAAGTCTTGACCTACAATGAGAAATCAGAAAAGGTCTCCTTGAGGAAGAAACATTTAAGATCAGGTAGGGGGGTAAATGGAAGGAATTGCACTGCAAGCAGAGACGGCTCTGAGGCAAGAAGACATTTAATGAACCGAAAGCCACCCACTGTGGCTGGAACATAGGGAACAAAGAGTGATGCAAGATGAGATATGCAAGGTAGGCAGAGGCTGATTTATACAACGTCTTTAAATTTAGGACTTTATTCTATTGGGTTGTTGGAAAAGTCATGATGCATTTTTGCCATGAAAAACATCGAAAAATTACGTCATAACTTTTCTGACAACCCATTAAAAGCAACTGGAAGCCACTAAAGAATCTGAAGGAGGAAATTTAGATGTTTAGGGTTGTTTTTCAGAACTCACTGACTGCTGTGTGTGGAAGACAGAAGTGGAAATGGGAAGATTGGTTAGGAAGTTTCCATAACACTCTACACAGATGTGATGATAGGTTGGAGAAAAGATTCCAAAGATATTTAGGAGTTAAAATCTACTTGGAGTGACTGAATATGTGAGGACAGGGATGTGTTTCTGGCAACAGGTACTGAAGTAGGAAACTGGAAGAGGCAAGGGTTTGGGCAGATTCCTTAGGCACAGGCCCTGAGGCTGGCACAGGCCCACAGCAACAGCATGGCTTTAGTTCTCTAAAATAGTTTAAGGTTTAACTGAGCAAACAAGATACACATGAAACAAATGCAGAGTTGATTAAACATCAGAATTCAGATAATGCATGGACTCTTGAATTACATGGGTCTGAATAGAAGGCCTCCATCTCACAGTGTTTCAGATACTGCTAAAGCCAAAACAGATGTCTCTACCTTTGTCCATGCCTTTCACAGTCAGCCCCTCAGAAAACTCCTACGCAGCCCAACCAGTGTCTCATACAGGCTACCTTTCCCTGCTCTGGGCCCTGGTGACCCTGCCAGGAAGAAGCACTATCCCCTCCGTGCTTCTTTTTTGCCTGTTACTGTCAGGATATTCACCTGTTATTTTCCTTCCCCTCCCCTAAGTGGGACGAAATCTGGCCACTGGCCCCCATGGTTTTTCTCTTTGGTCACTAGGAGTTTTTATTTACTTAACTCCTCTCTTTGCATTACTCCTGCCAAGTCTCCTCTTGTAGAGCCAACATCTTGTCAAATTGACCCTGTCTTCCTCACCTTCCCAAAGAGGCACAGGCCCATTATGAATATGCTGTGGCATTTACCTCCTTTTTGCTTCCCCATCCAAAGTGTCCCACTCTGAAGTCCCTTTCTCCACTCTAGTTTTTCCTGGAATCAATATATACCCAACTCTTTGTCTCAAAAAAATCAGAAGAAAAATTTTGCTATGGGATTAACCAGGAAGTAGCCTCAATGGCTATTGTTTAGCTGACACTTAACCTTCCCTGCCTCCTCTGTGCTACTGCAGACCTCTGATAACTCCCTTCCAAAGACAGTAACCGCAGAAAAAATGGCAGACTACACAGTAGGTCTATTGGTTCCCATTGCACAATGAGCCTAGGACATTGAGATATTCTCTTTACAATAAAAAGAACATGGGCTTTGGAATTGGGCAGACTTGGGTTTATATGCTGGGTATTAACTAGTGTGCCTTTGTCCTATTAAATCTTGCTAAGCTTCAAAAGTCTTATCTGTAAAATAGTGGTAATGGTATCCATCTTATGGGGGTAGTTATATTAAACATGGTGTATAAAGCACAGAGCATAATATCGAGCCTGAATTACCTCATAACAGTTCACTTCCTTTCTTCCCCTTGGTTTCAGCTACTAACTACTATTCAGAAGGGAGATAAGCCAGTTTCGTATGGCCAGTGATAGACATTTCCTATTCCTGTCTTTGTAAACACCATCTTCCTGCAGCCATCCCATTGCTATCATTGCCAAAACAGTTCTTCTATCCCCTATCCCAGTGTAGGACTTGTTTCTCTTACTGTCAAAAAGTTCTGCCTGGGGCCGGCCAAGCAGCTTGATGATTAAGAGTTGGCTTGGGAGCAAGAGCTCTGAGCAGCAGGGCCGCCAATTCGGATCCCACATGGGCCAGTGACACTGCGCCCTCTACCCCTAAGATGGTGAACAACAGCTTGACCTGGAGCTGGGCTGCGATTAGTCGACGGTGACAGCGTAGGCTGCAGTGGGGCTGCAGTGGGCTGCTGTAAGCTACCGTGTGTGGCCGGCAGCCAGTGTGAGCTGCCGTGAGCCGCCGTGAGCGGCTGTCCAATGGCGACAACCAATCTGCCTCAGCCGGGAAGAGAACAATGATCACAATACCAACATGGGCCAGTGAAGTGACGTCCTCCACAACTAGACTAAAGAACAAAAGGACAGCAACTTGTCTGTTCCCCTTCCCTGATTCCCCAATGCTATTCCCTCCCCCAATTCCCCAGTAAAATCTTTAAAAAAAAAAGTTCTGCTTGAGCTCTTTCTAACTATCCTCTTCTATATCTCCCTAATCCAAGATACTTCATCTTCTTGTATCATTTTTAAAAAATTAATTTCTAGCATTCTCCCTGATTTTCTCAGAGTAAATTATAATGGACCTGAGGAATAGGATCTTAACATTTCAGAAGGGCATGGGAACCACAGGCCAGTTCCCAGAGTGGAACGGAGGCCTAGGTCGATGCACTACCCACCTATCCCCACCTTTTTTCCTACAGGGGACAGAAAGAGCCAAACTCAAAATATGTCTTGAGTCTACATAAGCATGTATCTTCTTTCCTATAGCTCTGTGAGGTCATCATTGAAGTAGAGCAGTACTGCAGGTGTGTGGAGTGTACCGTCCATATTGAGATAGTCAAATTCTTCCTCCTCATCCTGGATCCCATTCTCTTCCAGGGTATAGTCCATGTTCAGGTTCCTCCCTTCATATTTCCATGTGTAGCTGGCAGCATGTGCGTTATAGGGGAGATAGCGGTGTAGGATTTCCCACATTGACTCCAGAGCCCCCACCTAGAGAACATGAAAGCACCCCACCCCCAGAATTCTGGGTGAAACACACACACACACACACACACACACACACACACACACACACACTCCAAACAAAGACCAGGAGCCCAAATGATAGAGCTCGGATCAGAGTGTCTCTCTTGTCAGATAGCAACTCAGGCACTCTACAGTCCAAGAAATGAAGGTGGACTTATAGCAGGCAATGAATGGCCCCAAAGTCCTAAATACCTTCATGGCAACCACTTATAATAGATGGCCCTAAAGGGTCCAAGTCACTGCCCCATAACCTCATCCCCACAACAGAGTAGACTATTAAGAGGCCAATTGCAATTGCTATCCAAAACATAGCATGTAAGAGCTTCCAAGGGCCACCAGCGCTAAGATGTATTAACTGCTGCCCTGAGCTTATGAAGGAGTCTTTTGTGCCCTGTGACTCAGCCACTCCTCGAATTCCCAACACTGGGGGCCTAGGTGGTTTGTTGTCTCGGTTGCCCCTAAAAAAGGAGAAAATACAGCTCCCACTGGTTTTGGAGAGCTAAAGGCCTGAAGATCTGCTTGGAGATTTGCTGGGATTCCCAATTCCCTCTGACTTGTTCCCAGGCACCAGTTCTCACCTCCAGTGTGTGCTCTTGCGACGTGAGCGTGTTAATGATACGGATGTTCCGGGTCTTGGCAGACAGCCGCCCCACCTCGTAATGCGACCCTTGCCACCAGGGCTTCCCGAAATCATTGGCCCAGTCCGAACGGGGTAGCTGAGGTGGGACATGCAGAAAGCGGCCCCGAGGGGTTCGGTATCTCAGAGAACCGGTCAGCGGGTCTATGTGCTTGCGGATCTTTAACGCAGGATTTGGGGGAGAGGGTGGGAGCAGTCACTATCTCGGTCTCTGGCTAGCCCGTGCTTTTCCTCCCACCCCGCTTTCCAGTGCCCCTCCCCCCAACGTCAGGTTCCATCAGAACTCACGTCTCTGGTCTTTGGATCAAACCAGTGGCTGATGTCCTGGCCCGCAACTTCCACGATGGGTTTCAGCAGCAGGTCTCCTGGGAAAGAGCAGCCGCGGTCAACGCTAGCCACCCAAGAACCAGGCATCCCCAAACACCCACCCAGACGCTGGCCCAATGTGTGGCTCTTACCCTTGTACTTCTGTGCCAACGGCGTTAGGTCGTACACGTATCCCAGGTAAGACACCCAGAGGTCTTCCGGCTGGTTGTGCTGAGCGACCTCAGCCGGCGTGAAATACCGACGCTGGAAATGTTCAAAGTCTGGCCCGGCCACTAAGCCCCGGCTCGGCATGGCTCTTGCTCTATTGGTCGCCGGCTCCTTTAAATGCCTTTCTCGCTCCTCAGCACGCTCTCATTACTACGTCCCCCTTCTCGCGCAGGAGCTAAGGCGAGCGCGTTTATCCGCTGACATGGAAACCATTGTCCTTTTCCAGCCACCGTCCACGGAGATCAAACGCTATGTGGTCAAAGAGGGACGTGGGCTCATGGGAAATGTAGTCTGATTCCCCCTTTCAAGTAACTTGAGCTGCATCCTCAGGAATTCGAGGGGAAGGGGTTAGCGAACACAGTTTTAATTGAATATCCTGGACTAAAAAGGGATATTTAGGACAGGCTATCTCATGAGGCATAAAAACAAAGGGGAGTTGTGCGATTGTGAAAAAAAGATATTCTTGTTAAATTGCTGGGTTCTTCAAGGGTATGTAAAAATCTATAGAGGTAAAATTTCTCGCGATATCTTAAGACAGCGTAATAGGCCTCAGTCGCGGCGCTGAAGAAGTAAAACCTCGCGAGATCTCTACAGTTGCCGAGGACATTAGGAGGAAGAGAAGTGATCTCGCGTAAGAAGAGGTGGGGAGCGATCGCGAGATCTCAGACCACAGGACCCGAAAGGTTCTTAGGAAGTTGAAGGGCCTGGAGAAGGCCCTGGTACAAATGGCCGGAGCTGGACCGACCATGCTGCTACGAGAGGAGAATGGCTGTTGCAGCCGGCGTCAAAGCAGCTCCAGCGCCGGGGTTAGCGTGGGTTCGGGTTCCGAGATTGAGGGGCAGTCGGGGAGCAATATGGGGGGATAGAGGGGGAACTGCAGCTCCCGGCAGCCTCTGGGATTCATGTGAGCGCCCCACGGGCGGTCGGGAGCTGTGGTTCTGTGGGCGGGCAGCAGCCGGGGAGGCGCGGTCTAAGCATGAGTCCCGCCCCGCGCAGGACTCAGATGGAGAGCGCGAGGACTCGCCAGCTGCGCGTGCCCGACAGCAACTGGAGACGCTGCTCAACAAGACTATGCGCATTCGTATGACAGACGGACGGACACTGGTCGGCTGCTTCCTTTGCACCGACCGCGACTGCAATGTTATCCTGGGCTCGGCGCAGGAATTCCTCAAGCCGTCGGGTCAGTGCCCAGAGAATGCACACCCGCCTGGGAATGCGGCGGAACCTCAAACAAGGCATTTCGCCTTTAGTGCCTGGCTGCACCCCTTATTCTCTGGGGCTAGAAGTCGTGGCTCATAAGGGGCGGTGCCGACTCTGGCCTGCCTCCCTGATGCTCTGATCCTTCTTTCCAGATTCCTTCTCTGCTGGGGAACCCCGTGTGCTGGGCCTGGCCATGGTACCCGGACACCACATCGTTTCTATTGAGGTGCAAAGAGAGAGCATGGCGGGGCCTCCCTACCTCTGACCACGATCGCGCATGCCTTTCAGAATTCATTAAACCTGTAACCAGAGTGGCCTGTGTGTGTGTAGCTGGGATGCCTGGGCAGGGATCGCACACCCCACCCCTAGAGGGTAGGTTTTTCTTAAGTCGGAAACACTGCCAACCCTTCTGCCATAACCTGGACGTCCAAGGGTGCCAAAGGTTCCCTCAGGTCTGGGGGTGGGGGACAGGCTGAGCTTCAGACCAACAAGCCCCTGGGTGGACCCCACCATATTCCCTCCCACGCTGCTACTCCAGAATTGTGGCGGGAGGGGGTGTCATCCTGCTCCGGAAGGCCCATTGTTTCCCTCCCCGGCCTGGCAACACCGAGTTCCTCTAAGCTGGGGTCAGAGAACGGGCTCGGGTCCCCAAGGGGCGCAGGGTAGGCGACAAAGGCCAGGCCCCCTCCACTCTGTTGATGGGGAGGTGACTTTGGGGTCAGGGACAGACAGAACTCTGGGGTCTGACCAGGAAGAACAGGCTAATGCGATAAAGGAAGGCCGGGAGGCTGAAGGATGCTCCTGTCTGCACACTTGAGCCACACACACCACCTCCCGTGTTTCCTGCTCCTGGGCACAGAGCAGGAGTGATAGTATTTGTGCCACCCCTCTGTCACAGGATCTCAGGAGCACGTTCAGTTCATTAATTCTTTATTGATGTGTGATCACTCCTTCCCCTCCAACTTTACCCACCAGCCCGTAAATACCAAATGAGTTGCACCGGAAAACGAGGGTACCCCGCGAGGTTCAGTTGTCCTAGTCACAAGGTGCGGGTGGGGGAAAGGGCGTGTGTGTGCAGGGTCCAGCCCAGATGTTAAGGATTCAGATATAGGTAGTGAGATTAGAAGGTTTTCCGAGGTGTGGCGAATTTTCACCAGCATTGGGTCCACAAATGCTATTTGCCAAGGGGATCCTGGGACCAGACTGAGGCAGGGGTGGGGGCAGGGAAGATAGGGAGACCCCCGGGGTTCAAGTCCTTGGGCCACTAAAAGGGAGGGCAGTCGTCAGGGTTGTTCTTGACTCGAGGGTTCTCAAACCCAGACTTTTCCTGATGTGGGAACGGCCTGGGACCCTGGCGAGGCCCGGATTTGCCCCGGCTGCAGGGTGCGCCGGCGCCGATAGAGAGCTCGGCTGTAGGGCACGAGGCAGTCAGCCAGACGGAGGCGCAGGCAGAGGCGGCGGTAGCTGGCCAGGGCAAGCACGAGCAGTGGCACGAGGAGCAGGAATCCAGTGACCAACAGGGCCGTGAAGCCCGGGTCCCGCAGATGCGCGGTGCAAGGGGGTGCCTGGGAACGCAGGAACTGTGGGAGAAGAGGTGTCAAGTCCAAACCGAATAGCCCAGGCGAGAAATTGTGGCCCATAGACCTCACAACTACCATCACCACATACACCCGCACTCGTGTACACGTACACCCCGGGGCGCACGCTCACCTGGGAGTGGCAGAGGAAGCCGAAGCCTAACATGGTGACAGCAGGTAGCAGGATGGTCCCCAGCACCAGCGCCAGCAAGAGAAGATTGAAGGCAGCCACCAACAGATTCTGGGCAGTAACCAGCACAGCGCAGGCCCAGCAGTCCAGGGGGTCCCGGGGCTCTGGGCCGCTAGGAACCGGTCGCTGTGCCCCGGGGACATCCGCCATGGCCCGCCTGGCTCCCGCCTGCCTGGGCCACGGCCCTTATAGCCCTCTTTCCTGCCCCTCCCCCGGCCCGGCCTCTCCCCACCCCCCTTATCCTGGAATGCGGCTCCTGGAGTACGAACCCCCCCCCCATATGGAGGAACGGACCAGAGCTCTGGACATTCCACAGGCGCCTCCGGGGAGGGGTTCACCCTGGCCGGGGTCTGCGCATTCTCTCCCCATCAATCACGGGCTTGCAGCCCTCCTCCCAGTACTCTCCCTGCTATCACCAGCACACTATCAAAACAGGATTTTTCTGATTTTATTTTTAATATTAATATTCTCACACAAAAATCACCGAAAATAGGGGTAGGGTTGGGAAGACCCCTCTGCCCCTGGGGCAGAGAGACAGTGCAGTGCGAGGGGGCGGGACTGTAAACCCCCCCACCCCTCCGCAGCCCCAGCGTGGAGGAAAAAAACCGACAAAACGAAAATAAAGCCCCAGAGAAACTCATCCCGGGGTGTCCCTGCCCCAGGGAGGCCCTGGCCCTGGGCTGTTTCACTCTTAAAAAGAAATGGGGGGGGGGAGGTTCGTGTTTTTAAAATTGGCCGGAGCTGGGAAGGACGGGGTTCCTTTTCCTCATAGTTCTTTCTTTAAAACTTTAAAAATTTTTTTATTTATTTTTATTTTTTTTTTTTACAAAATACCATTTCAGTTCCCACTTCTTCCCCTACAGTACAGGAGTCGCTCACCCTCAGGCGGGGTTGGGGTTGGGTAGGGTCGGGGGACTGGTCCGAGAAAGTGCAGGACATAGGGGAGGGGAGCGGGTTTGAGCACCATGAGAACCCAGCTGGAGCCACGGGCGGGCGGAGACTGACGGGCCGGCCCGGGCCCGGACACACAGGGGCGCGCAGGGAAAGCCTGGCGACGGGCGGTCCCTGGAGGGGCGGGCGGGATGGCTTGGGAAGTGCGGGAGGTCGGGTTTTCCCAAAAATGAATAAATAGAGGTGAGTGGGACTGTTATAAATTAAAAACCAAACAAAACAAAACAAAAACAAAATACAAATCATAACCAAGTGAATAAACAGAGACATGTACAGGGGTCACAGCTAGCGTTGGAAGTAAAAAAAGGAGGTTCTGGGGGAGGGGTAAAGCCCATAGAAAGAATCTCATTAAAAACCTCGGCTGCCGTAACGTCTATGTACATACACGAGCCGCGTGCATCTGCGCCGGGCGGGCGGCTGGCAGGCGTGAGGGAACCCGTATGTGACCCCCGCCACCGCCGGAGCCTGGTCCTTGTGTCTGTTTGCTAAAAAGGCCAAAGTCGGTGAGGGAAGGCGCTGGTGGGCGAGGGGCTACCAGCCCCCTCCCCCCACGTCTCCCATATTTTTTCCTTTTTTCCTCATATTTGCTTAAAAAAGTTTTTTTTTCTTAATAAATTAAATGAGGGGGAGCTGCCAATGGGGTGGAAGGGCTGGGCCCGACCCCCTTCCCGGCCAGAAGCGGGACCTAGGTCCAGCCCAGGCCTGTGCTGGTGGCCCCGCGGCGCCCTGCGGGCGGGCAGGCGGGCGGGGCATCCGGCTTCATCGCGCCGTGCTGGCAGGGGCCTGCAGGGAGAAAGCGGGCGGAGGAATCAGTGGCAGGCGCTGGTCGGCCCACCTCATAGCCCGCCCTCAGCACACCCCTCCGGGTCCCCACCCGCGGCCCCGCACTGGGGCCTCACCAGCGTGAAGGCGTCGTAGGCCTGCGCCAGCTCCTCCGTGCGGTACTGCTCCAGCACCACCACGCCCTGGAGGCCCGCGCTGCGGCGCCGGGCACAGGCCTCGCAGTGCACCAGATACGTGTTGCGGCTGCCGTTCTCACTCGTCACGAACAGGATGTTGAACACCTCCACCTGTGACAGGGAGCAGGGGCAGTCACTAGGAGGAGGGCCGCTGGGGGCGCCTTCCTCCTGGGAAGGAGGGAGAGCCGGTCCACTCACGTCGCACTCGTTGCAGTAGTAGGCGGGTTCGTCTTTGACCCGGCCCTGGTAGGCAATTTTCTTTCCTGCCCGCACCAGACTCTCCCGTTGCACCTGGCAGTGCTTCATGGACTGCAGGAGGCAGAACCTGCGTGGGGGGCGAGTGGTAATGAGGCAGGGCTGCGGGCAGAGCAGAACAGAAGCCCGCACCTATAGGACCTTCCCACTTCATGCCCAGGTCACGTCCCCTGACCTGGGCATCTGAAACAGATGAAAGTTCATATGGTTTTTGTCTGTTTGGAACACTGGAAAATAAAGCTCCTTAGAGCAGGGGACTTGTCAGCTGCCCCAGCATAGTGATACTGCAGGGCGCATGGTAAAGGGTTGAGAGAAAGATGGAGAATGGGGTAACATTAGACAGGCAGACAAGAACGGGACCAGAAAGGTGAAAATGGGCTCCCTCCCAAATAGGACCCTCACTTGATCATCTTGAACAAGTCGGGGTCGCTGATTTTGACAGTTCGAGCCACGTTCCAGGACACGTGAATCATGGGCACAATGGATTTGACGTTCTTCACCTCGTTCCACTCGTATCGTTCCAGGGCCAGCTGGTACTGATAGGCTGCGGGCCAGAGGGGATCACTACAGGATTCTCAAACAGGCCCCAGCCACTTGGACCCCAGCTCTTTCCCTCACAGCTGGCTGCCCTCCAAGCCCCCCACCCCCATGAGGCTGAGTGGCTCTGCGCCCCACCCTCTCACCAGTGAGGGGCCCAACGTTCCAGGCGATGTTGTTGCACCAGCCAGTGGCCTGCACCCAGTGCACGGTCCCCGCATTAATCCACACGAGGTCTCCAGGGCGCTGGACGAAGCGGTACACAGGGATGTTGGAAGCATAGAGGTCATCCAGAATTGGCCACCAGGAACCTGTTAAATAGTCCACGCCGTGCCTGCGGGGTGGCCACAGGGTCAGATGGAAACCTGGGGACCAAGGGACGGGACATAGACCTAGTGGAGGCAGGGGCAGCGGCAGTGCGCACCGGTCGCAGAAGGCGCTGATGGTCTCCCAGTAGTGCTCATGCACCGCGAACCACTCGCAGTCTCCTGGGCCAATGTTGATGTTGACGGAGCAGAAGTTGTTGTTCTCCTGATGGCCTGCAGGAGGCGACAGAGAACGTCATAGCTAGCCAAGCGGAGCCTGCGCTCCGCCACAAGCCAGCCCTTTGGCCCTCATTGGCTGACGGAGCAGCGCCGACACCAGCCCCGCCCCCCGCACGTTTCTCGCACCTGGCGTTCGGCTACCCGGGACCTTCATGTACAGCTGCACCGTGTTCATGCCCAGAATGGTATGACCCACATGGCTCAGCATGTTGCCCGTGGATGTTACCCGCATAAAGGCGGGCAGCTTCAGCAGCTCCTGCAGTTGGGGCTTCCACCTGCGGTGGAGAGGGGTCAACAAAAGTGAGAGGCTACTCTGGCTCTGCTGACCCATCAGCACTCCTGCCCCAGCTTTACTGTCCTGAGCCCCACCTACCGCTTGGCATCAGACAGGTCGATGTTGGTGCCAAACTTGATAATATGATGGTTCTTCGGATCTGGTGTGCTGCTGCAGGAGCGAAGAGCACAGGTTGGTGGAGAAGCACAGGGAAGGGACGGAGTCATGAAGGGAAGGGGCATACTGTACCATACCTAGGAGGAGTTCCTGTAGTGCTGTCTGGCTCCTCCGACTCCTCATCCTCACTCTCCTTCTCCTCCTGCTTGGTCAGAGGGGTAGGCAGGCCTGGGTCAGCCACCTTCCAAGAGCCCTTCAGGGGCAGCCCCACTCCACATCCCCTGATTCTGCACCCCTGCCTCCCCACGCTAGCCTCTTACCTGCAGGGACTCCTGGAAGGATGAGGCCTGGTACTGCGCATATTTGGCAATGGTGGTGTGGGAACGGGAGCTCTCACAGGGCCAGATCTGTCGTGTGCCTGTCAGATCCCAGTTCTCATCTGAGGGCTGCTGCACCTGGGTGCGCACCTCCACTGTGTGCTCTCCACTCGCCTCCACCAGTGTCTTGGTGGAGAAGAGGCCCAAGTCTGCAAGGGAGGGCCAAGCAGAGTGTTGGGGCAGAGGCAGAAGGCAGGGAGTGAGGATCCAACTCACCCTGTCTCTTCTTACTCCCCAAGCCTCTGACAGGCTGGACATAGGCTTTGCAGAGGTCAGCCCAGGAGGAATAGGCAAGAACCCCAGCCCCACATGAAGCTAGGAGGTTTGGCTATCACCAACCCCTTCCACTGCTACTCTGAGCCTCAGCCTCTCCACCAGAGTCCTCAGATGTGCGTGAGGCCACATGTGCACAGCTCCCTGGCACAATGAATGGCAGTTTATCATCAGATCCAATGAAAGATTTACTCAAGTAAGGCCTAGAAAGTAACTTTAACTTTTTTTAAAAGTAGCTTTAAGTAACTCAGTAGAGGGAAGGGAAAATAAATGGGTATAGAGGAGGCTACTGATACAGAGGAAACAAGATTGACTTATTTTTCTATATGGTTCACTCTACTTTTGTATGTGTTTGAAACTTTGCACGATAAAGGTTAAAAAAGAGAAAGCACCAAACCATGGGTCTTCAGGGATTCTCTAAAATCTGTATTCTTCTCATCCTTAATCACCAAGAATACCAAAAGTTTTCTGACTCTAACCAGGCCCTAAGATACCTCCCCTTGCCACTTGCCTAGTGCTGGAAACAGACAGATGGAAGAAAACCCTGAGGCCAGCTGGCCCATCACTCAGAGCACCTTTCAAATATGGCCTATCTTTGACTGAGGAGAGCTCACTATAGCCACTATCCTGGGTTTTCAAGTGTGGGGGCTCTCAGAGGGTCTCAAAGCCCCAGATCCTTGCAGCCCTCCCCCACCTTTCTGCTCCCACACACTCACTGAGCCGCAGGGAGCCTGCCAGACCCCTGATCACGGTGATGGGATTTCGAGGGTCTGTACAGAACTGCAGCAGCACCGGCGAGAAGGCATCCCGTTTACTCTCCAGCTGAGAGACAACCAGGAGACAGGGCTGGATCAGGCTCAGAGCACCCCAATGGCCCCCAACACTGTCTTAGAACCCTTTGGCAAGGGCATACATACATAGATGCTGGGTGTGGGTGGGTTGAGTTTTTCCCGGGGCAGCTTCTCCTCAGTGTTGATCTTCGGTTTCACAGACTGGGCAGGGGAAAGGTAGGATTCTCGAAACTTCCCTTTTACCTTGGCATTCCTGTGGGAGGACAGTGAAATGAGAGAAATAGGGTGATGGGGAAGGGCGCCTCCAAGTGGGCCAGGTCAGCAGCCTCATAGGTGACAGCCCCTAACTCACTTGCTGGCACGCACGACGTCAGCAGCGCAGTGGCTGATGGTGAGGTCCGCCATGCGCAGCCTCCTCTCTTCCACCTCAGAGGCGATAAAGGTCTCCTTGTCACCACTCTCTACCTTGATAAGCCGGATCTTCAGCTCCTTGGGGGGCCCTTCACTAAGTGAGCGCAGCTTCAGCATGTCAGCCCGGCTGACCCCAGGTGGACCTGGAGCTTCCTCCCGAGCCTTCTTCCCAGCGACAGCAGCTAATGTGGGTGTGGGCTGGGCAGAGGGTGCAGGTGCTGGTGGAGGCCCCAGAGCTGTGGGTGGCTTGGCCTTGGAGGCCCCACCAACATCGGGCCGAGCCTTCTCACGACCCTGGATCTCCTCACTCTGCAGGTCCAAGTTCCCCAGCACTCTGCGGCTCTTTTCTTTGGGGGCCTTCGCCTTGGCCTTTGCCCTGCCCTCGCGGGGCCTCCGACCTACACTGTCCTTACAGGCCCGCCTGTGCCGCCGGTGCTCCTTCTGATGCTCCTTCTGCCGCCGCTTGCTGCTACCTGGTCCTGCTGCTGCCACCATCCCACCACTCTCCTCCTTGGCCTGGGCAGGAGGCAGCAGTCGCTCAGTCCCACTGTCCACTGGGTCTGCCTTGACCAATGGGTCTGCCGTGTCCACTGGACCTGCTGGGTCTGTAGCACTCCGGCCTACCCGCTCCACAAGGGTCTCACAAGCCCGACTGATCTCTTCTAGCACCTCAGACTCAGAGCGAGCAGGGGGCAGAGGCAGGGGTGGGGGAGGCGGGTCGGGGGTCACGGGGCCTGGGGCTGGCTCTTCACCCACCCTGCACTCCGGGGCCCAGGGCCCGCCTGAGGTAGAGAACTGAGATGACGAGGAAGCGGAGGGCTGTGGGGAGCCCTGGGCGCTAGGGGCTGCTGAGGTGGGCGGCTGGGCTGTAGCACCTGTTGGGGGACTGGGGGAATACTGAGTGGCAGGCAAGGACCCAGGTCGGGTAGAAACAGCTGCTCCAGTCCCCCGGTAACAGTACTTTTGTCCCTCCAGCACGGAGGCCAAGGATTTGAGCAGGCTGGCTGGTGGGAGTAGTGGGGGTGGCGGCGGCTGTGGCTGGGGGGGTGGAGGGAACTTGGCTAGTGGCGGTGGTGGCGGTAGGACTGGTGGTGGCTTCTTCTCTTCTTGGGTGGCCGTGGTGGTGGTGGTGGTGGTGGTGGTGGTGGCGGTGGCGGTGGCAGCAGTGGTGGCTGGGGTTGTGTCAGTGGGGAATGGAGGCTGCAGAGAAGCAAAGGGCTCCTTCAAGGGAGGCGGGGGCGCTACGCCTGCCTCCTGTTGTTGCTGCTCTTCCTCCTTGCGAATGGATTCATCCAGCATCTTCATGATGTTGGCCAGCCCATCAGGTAGGATCTTGAATTCAGCGGGCTCTTCAAACTGGTCCTCCAGTGGGGTAGAGGGAAAATCAAAGAGTCGTGCGCCTCGGGCAGGCAGCTCCCCAACTGTCGGCGGCACGGACTGGGGGGCTTTATTCAGGGGACCTGGGGATGGCCCCGGCCCCACCTCGGGGGTCTTTGGGAAGGAGACCCTGGGCCGAGGGCTCTCCGGGCGCCTGAAGCTTCCTGAGGTATTTTGGTGGCAGGAGGAGGGAGGAGCTGGAGGCAGGGCAAGAGTCAGAGGTGCAAGAGGTGGGTCCTGGGGGCTCAGTGTTGGGCTGGGGGGCCGGGGAAGGGGCTCCATACTTCTGGCCAAATAGGGAGGTGGGGGAAAGGACACAGGCCCAGTAGGGCTGCTGCTGTGGCTGCCATTGTTGCTGCTGCTGGTGGTGGTGGTCGGGGGAGTACGAGGGGTGTGCGAATCCTGAGTGCCCACAGAAAAACAGGGGGCTGGAGGTCCCAAGAAGCCCTCACGGTGGGGAAGGGGTGGGGGAGGAGGGCGGGGGCGTCCCTCAGCCCCAAAGAAGA